TTCCGCTTATTATTTAAAACAAAACGATTGTAATAAAACAACAAAAAAACTTGTGTTTTCTGCGAAATGGCATACTAAAACTGATAGACTTATAAAAATTTAGTATTATTAATGTGGTCGCTGGTTACAAAAAACTAATATGTAAGATTATGCTTTTTTCATTGTGAATCATCTCTTGCTTTTTCGGGTTACACTATTTTTAATAACTGCTCCAGTGGTATTGCTTGAACATCCGAGTACATACAATAATAAGTTGACCAATATAGATTATTAGAACAAACATACTATTTATCTTTTGTCAATAGTATTAATGTTTCTTGCACGTAATGAGTCTTTATTTTATTGACACTTGATTAACTTAGTGCTTGTCATGAGTATTGGATTGTGGTATAGAATATGCTGTTGTGCTCTGTGTTTTCTGGTGTAGTGTGTACTTTCCAGAATCCCGTAGGACAAATTGCTTCTCCCGTTTTGGAAACTCTTAGTGTTCAAAACTGCCCGACATTGACCTTATCCAAAGCGTACAGCAAATTCCCGTAGCTGTGAAGGAGTTTATCAGTCTGCATCCTATTGCGACTCCTTAAGCCTCCTCCACTCTAAATATAAAAAATAGAGGTTTTACTATACGGCTTTTTCTAATAGTTAACCATACAATTGTTGACAGATGCGTCCCACATTCTTTATGTGAACAGCAATGCACATAATGGCAATTTCAAAGTGTCCAAATTTTTACAGCGGACTGTGTTTTCAGTAGACAAGAATCGCACACAAAAATAAATTCTTGCTCAGCACAACCAAACAGTATGGAAATGTGTGTCCTGCCAAAGCCACTATATTAATATGCAAGACGAAACATCTTTATATAAATCAACTTAGTAGATTGCAGTAATGAGCTCCATGACCGTTCCCATTGCATCCTTGCAAACTAATTTGTTGACGGCGGACAATTTCGTAGAATTTCTTTGTGCGCGAACACGAAGCTCAAGACTTTCATAAACATTACGCATCCCTATCCAAGGTACATCGTCCCGGCCACCGAAAGCTTCAAGATATACCGTTACATAGACCCATCAGCGTCAACCATTGTCTATTGTCTCACTCTGCACTAATACAGTAAAAACACGTCAGGGTGTACCGCTAGCCAAAAAAAAAACAGAAACAACAACCACATTACATGTTTCTTGCATGCACTAGTGTATGGCAATATGCCTTTTGAGTTAAGGCCCGTTCACACTCTTGTGACCTCTTAAGGCCCGTTCACACTCTTGCGACTGCTAGCGACCTCTTAAACCTGGGTTCCTTAAAACTTCTTAAACCAGAGAACACACCGGCGCCATCTATTGGGAAGCAGTGTAAACTCGGCGGTCCGGCATATTTGTTTTTATTTCTCGCGCATTCTCCTTTCTTTTTTGGCTCGAAAAACATTTGTCAATGTTATAAACGAGCCTTTCTATGGGTATTACGCACATTTGACCTCGGAAATCCCGCAAAACCTTCGCTTTTGTGAAATGCAGTTCTAGGGTCACCGCATAGATGGCGCCACAATGTCAGTGTGTTCCCTCATTCTAGAAACATTTAAGAAGTTGTAAGAGATCTCGTCTCTCTCAGTCGTACTCGGTCGCAAGAGTGTGAACGGGCCTTTAAACCTAGGTTTCTTAAAACTTCTTAAACCAGAGAACACACTGACGCCATCTATTGGGAAGCAGTGTAAACTCGACGGCCCGGCATATTTTTTTTATTTCTCGCGCATTATCCTCTCTTTCTTGGCTCGAAAGACTTTTGTCAATGTTATAAACGAGCCTTTCTATGGGTATTGCGCACATTTGACCTCGGAAATCCCGCAAAACCTTCGCTCTTGTGAAATGCAGTTCCAGGGTCACCGCATAGATGGCGCCACAATGTCAGGTGTTCCCTCATTGTAAAATCATTTAAGAAGTTTAAGAGATCTCTTCTCTCTCAGTCGTACTCGGTCGCAAGAGTGTGAACGGGCCTTTATGGTTATTTTCGTTTTAGTGAGTATTAAACGGTTTTTACCCAGCATAATTCAATGAAAAGTTGCGGTATAATCAACTACAAATCTGTTGAAAACATTAATATAACTTAATCGAAAGGCTACAACGTGAAAATAAGACAATGTTATTTTATATAGACTTCTCTCTTTGCGAGTCTAACTAGAAGAAAACAGTTTGGTTGTTGCTTGTGGAATATTGGCGATACAACGGCAGCTCCGAGCTTCAGGGAGCATTAACGACCTGAGAGAGAAACCTGTGGTTAGAAATATAAGGTTATTTTACATGAGCAGCGGCTGTACGTTTGTGATTTTAGTTAGAAAGAAATCACCACCATAACAAGTAATACCCGGTGGGACGTGGTAGCTCATCAGATGTACAGACTTTTTTCTAGATGTTTTCATGAGATCAGTGAATACTAGCATAATATCAATCGCCAACATACAAAGTGGTGGCATTGTAGGGCGTCTGGCGTTTATACGGTAAGGATCGCATAATTCCGATATCCTGTTAAAACAAAATCAAAGGAATCCTTCAACTTTCTGTATCTTCGGAAGTTACGGAGAACACTTTTCCTCTAAAGGAACAATTTATTTTAATTTTTTGCTTTTCATTTTTGCAAAACATTCTAAAACAAATCTAAGACAATTACTGCTTTAAGAATTTTACTACTCACTGCGATAAATGCACTGACGGATGCAGTTTTATGTAAGAATTGAACTTGAACTTATAAAATTGTTGTAATCTGTTCCGTCACAATATTGTGACACACGTGAAGTAGACAATGTATTGTAACTCAATTTCGTCAGATACAATCGTTCTAATTAACCAACATGATACCCATATTAAAATTCTCACATCATCAAATATTTTTGGCACGCCACACATTGATGAACTACAAATTGAACCAAATCTAAGAAAATTACAGGACGTACGGTATGGTTAACTACAAATTGATTCAAAATTTTAGGTATATAGAAGTGGCCAGCAGTTGAAAAGTATCATTGTATAAATACTGCTTGTGAGTGTTGTATGTGAGCATTTGTTTTCAGAGCGTGCGATTTTTGAATATTTTACAGAGCTCTTAACATTCATTTTAAGATTAGCCTTTATGCACCCTATTTTATCTTAATTTTAGAGCACAATCTTTTTCTTCCTATCGATGAAAACCGCTGGGTGAATCTGGTGCCTGTTTTGGCAATAAAACCCTTATCAGAAAGTAACACGTCAAACAGCTTAATTTCACTAACCAAAAATGCCTGATCATTTAAGCCAAAATATTCGCAAACACATATCCACGCGCATATTCACATACACACATACGGACACCCTCGAATTCGTGATAGCACACGGAACTAACTGTTATCTGCGTCACTGTTTTTTTTGGATTACCAAATGAATTCGAAAGTTTTTTTATTGTTTTCTACATACCCGAAGAAAAAGCAATTACGTGCCTAGAAACGACTCTTGCTTTTATGAGCCATAATATTTGCGTATAGATTTCGCGAGCATTTGCAATTTTTCCCGGTTGCTAGGGTAAGGTCCTCAGAGGAATCGTTTTAACAAATATTTCATAAAAGTAAAGATTGCATCTCTAGACGTACGCATAAGACGACGATAGTAGCTTCAGACGACCAGCACAAAATTACATGGTGGCGTAAATATAAACGATTGTCAAAATCCAAATACTGAAGAGCCTTAAATCTTCATCATGGTCTCCTAAACACAGATACGAAAAAAACAACCTAATGCTGATTTTGTCCTTACAGTGCAAATAGTATCATTCCAGAAACAGAACACTGCAAGTAATCCAGAAACACATCATTCTGTATAATCAGTGCAGTAGACCTCAAAATTTTAACAAAAAGGGTTCGTGCGCTAAAGCGTGTCGAACTCTGTTTCTCCCCGTAGGACGAAAAAAATCAGATAATAACAACAAACGTTTGGTTAAACCTGGTAAGTGACTCCAAGTGCTTACGTGATGTGCAGTGTGGAGAACGTCTTGTGACGCAGCGTTCCCTTTTTTATTCCCCGCGAAACACGCACATACACACACACACATGCACAATACGCAAGCAGGCAAACATTTGGAACAAAAATATTGTGTGGAGACAGGTGAAAATAGTTACTAGAAAAACAAGTTCTCTATAAAGAAAACCTAAATGGACGGAATTAACTTTGGCACTGGAGGATAAGACAGCTCTTTCGCTCTCCCGCTACCTCGCTCATGCTCTTAGGAAAGGCAGCACTTTTCTCTTATCTCCCTCTATCCTTCCTGATGCACTCAAACCTTACTGCGTACGCTCTAACAATACCTATGGGCGTGCCATTTTGAGCATGAAACACTCATTATTGGATCACTTATGATCAGCTTAGCCGTTCGGCCAACTTAGAAATGATTCTATTCAGTTCACCAACTTAATAGGGTGAGAAGTGTGCTCCATTCCTAGACCAAGAAAGTTGAATTAGTCCGTGTTCGGCCTTCTACCGCACGGATTGTCATAAAGACTGTCAGTCTTGGGTGTCGATTGCAGATCGCGCGTGCCGAATGTAGCCATTGGTTAAGCGGCTTATAATTAAGATATAATTATTTAAAATAATTACACTTTTAGGCATTCTTACTGGTGAATATTTCATTCCATCTTCGCTAAGTTTATAAAGAATGCCTTCTGCTTCATCACTATGCAGTAACTAAGCAAAACCTTCGCAGAAGATGTGAAACGTCGCGCCTTCTTGAATAGAAGGACTGAGTGCTTCATGCCGTGGTGTCGCAAATCATGCAAAGCAAAACAAGCAAAACTTACGGAATGCTCCAATTAATTGATATTTCTAGTGAATCTTCTATCAATGCTGTATTGTGCCGGTCCTGCCACACGAGTTAGCTACCATGTGATGTCACGGTCTGTTGCACTGAGTCCTCGTGTTCTAGGAGGCGCCACTATAGCTCGCGATACTGACGCCTGCCTTCTCTTGACTTCTACTCTTTTATAGGATGAAAAGAATCAACTAATAATTACAAATATCTGGTTAACCTTGGTAAGTTCGCCGATCTAGTACCCCGTGCCGTAATGTTTTTTTAGCAGTTAGGTCAGTTTTTAAATTTAAATTTTTGCCGTAACAATTTTATAACTAAGGCCAGTCTGATCATTGCCATTTAAGCAGAATAGAAATAATTTGTTTCATGTTAGAGGATAAAGGAGGTTGAAGGGGTCTTTCTCGCCGAGTGATTGTTCATTCAAATTGGCGAATACTTCAATAAAATCAGCAAACTATACAACCTACAAATATGCGCGGAGTATCAGTGACGCGTAGGTAGAATGAAACAAACCAGAAGACTAAACCGGTCTATCTTGTGCAAAATAGACAAAGCAGATGGCAAGAATCGCTTAATTCAAATTATAAGATTTTTTTTATTTTTTGCTTTAATGCTTCTGTAAAACGTTAACTTTGATATAATAATGTTTGTCTCCATTGAAAGGAGCTTACGAAAATTTATTCGTGCGTTCATATTGATAGGCGTTCGTGCCATAGAAATGAGTACTCACTAAACCGATTTCTAAATAGAAATCTGAGAGGGTGATTTCTTTCAACCAAATTTATCCTCTAAGAAGCTGTTTCTTTGTGTCTGCCCTTTTAAAAGATAACATGAGCACACTGTCAATCATCATAGTTCAAATAAATAATAGTTGCTTTGTAAAGTTGAATTAAGCCTAAGAACTACAGAGTAAACAAAGCTCATGGAAGAAGACGCTATCTGTGTTTGAAGAGCAATATGGATAGGAAGAGTCCCATACGTTGTCACTTGAACTAACTCTAAAGGCATGATCGACAGATATAGATTCAATGAAATGTTCAGTTTGTTGCAGCTTTGAAGTCACTTGCGTAGCCAACACTCTACATTGTTAGGCCCACCACTGCATGCTGTCTGCTTTTCTCCGCACGGTCACGCCTGTTTTAAGTTTCCTTTTATTTTTGTAGACGGCAAATATGATAGTTTCCTCGGTTTGCAGATTCCCGATTAATGCATGACCTTATTGGCGAGAGTAAGGGGCTTAAAAATTGTAGGATAGTGCACGTTGACTAGTAACTATTCAAATACATTAAAATCATGTTCGAGTAGCAAATACAAGGCATATAGACAACTTCAGTGGCACTGCAAGCGGAGTGCATGTTTGAATTTTGTGAAAATGTTAGAGATGAATCATGACGGGGTTTTCCTGAACAAGTTACCAGAGAGTTTGCTTTTTGAGGATAGTACATATTGCTTTAAAACATTACGACAAGAGTACAAAATGATTAACCAAGAATTTGCAATATATCATTACCACGTGTAAAGTGGTTCTTTAGTGACTTTTATTTTTCGTCCACACTTTATTTTGGAAATTAAAATAATTTTGATCTTGCTAGTAAAACTTGAGTTAAATTATTTTTAAGGCAATATCGGTGGGTGCCTTCGTTTGTTTTTGAGATACTTACGGGTTTTACTGCAAAATCTAATGCAATGTATGAATAAAATAAATAACACGTTGAAGTTAAACCCGTTCTTGTTTGTACAAAGAAAGCCTCATCCTCTCAGAGTCAACAAAAATGAAGGTCGCTGTAAACTGCTCTTCGATGAAGGTAACTGTGCGCAAATTTAAGGACACAAGAGTGAAATATAATATGGATTAACTCAATAAACAATGCACTTAAAAACTTTCGTCGTTATCTTACCAAAATGATAGGACAAAGGAGCAATACTCGCCATCTTGGATTCTTATAAAGAAATGCACAGCGACCTGGTCGAAGGGTAATTTCTAAACCCGGACTAACCTTTAAATATAATGAATGCCGCGGTTGAATAAATCTTGACAAAAAGTTGTATTTTTACTAGATTTCTAGTATGTCGGGTTAATTTGTTTTCTGCAGCTATAAAACTTTTTTTTACACAATAGTCTAAGTCTTTTTTTCACTTCGTTATAAAGAACTCTTTAAGAATACGCAAAGAGGATTCTTAGTGTAAAATTGAAAGAACAGTTCAAAATATGAAAGTAATATTCGAAACGATTTCTGCGTTGAAGCTTGATGGTTATTTTTGAAACAAAAAGTAGATGAGGAATCACTACACTCTCAAAACACAATTTCAATAAAAATGTGAAATTATAATGGAAACCAAAATAAACTCAACCAGAACACAGTAACATTTTCTACCCTCCCACGCTTTTCGATGTTGCGATTCTGCTTGTGAATGTTTGCTATGCTTTACCAAAACTGCACGCAAGCCTTCAGGATATGCCTCAAAATATTGATGCCAGTAAAACATATTCGCGCATATTTCAATTTTAGAGATGTTGTAGCTGTCGCGCAATATATCTGGTGGCAAATACTGCAATATTTTTAAGTCACTAACTCACTAACAAACAAATGTTTGGTTAACAATATGCTATAATGCTGCATACTTAGGCTGCGGGTGATTACATATTTTTGTTGATTTTGTAAGGTATACTTTGTTTCTCTAGTTAATAATATAAGTGTTTTAGATACAAATTCATGAAAGAATATCAACTTTGGATCTGTACAAACTATTTATCATATTTTGCCTTTGCCACATTTTTCTCTTCATTTTGAGAAACGGTTGTAGAGAAGAAACAAAAATAGCAATAGACATTTTGATTCAATAAAAGGGAGAACAAATAGACATATTTATTCCGGCAGTGTTGGCTCTAGAATTCATTATTCTCGAGTTCAACAATTTGACGGTATCGGTACTCTCGTCGATTAATATAGAAATATTGAATTTAATAAACCCAAATATTTTCTGACCTCAGTGTTTAATAGGATTTCATTTTATTATTTTACTGCTTGTTTGACCAAACAACTCCCGTGTATAATCTCACCTCGACATGGACAAAGCATCAGCCATGCGTGGAATGTATTGTCCAGTAAAAAATGTGCTTGAATGAACGTTTTAAAGCAGAAGAGGTTATTCTACTGTTGGATAGGCCAATCGTTTGGCAATGAGAGTTTCCCATTTTAACAACCGACGATCAACCAACCTGTCAGCTTCCTTGTGTTATCGATGCAGAAGCATGTGATGGCATCTCTCTTCAAGATATCAGAGACCTGCCGGAGCCATTTTGCGCTCTCTTCGAGTTGCCTGGATATTGAGGTGTAGAAGGTTAGACCATTTCGGAACTCTCAGTGTAATTGGCTTCATTGGAGGCTGCCTTCACAGCTGACTAGCGGAGAGCATCACACTATTGAATACGGCTGATAATGCTAGAATTGTATTTCCATCGATATATAAAGAATTTTACAAGTAGAATTAGCGCTAGGGTGCTTCACGCTATCAGTTCAGTAATCACAATATCAGTTCAGTGGTCTTCAACGACATTTCTCATCTTGAGTCAAACCATCTTCTCCATAATTTTGTCCTGGCGCCGCATCTCAGAGTGATGTTCAGCTCGGAATATAAAAGACTGAACTTAATAACCGTGCTACATTCAGCAATATCTTCATACAACTTCAGAGGCTCGATAAGGCGAAGAAATCTGTAGCAGCCACTCAGCGTGAAGCGAAGTCTTGTTAGGACCATGCATCGACAATAACGTGTCATTATTCTTACAAAAAATGCTAGCTATTCAGTGGAGCACCCAAATGACTGTTGATTTATTGGTTCTCATGTTCCTCGCAATAGTTGTCACTGGATTCCTGGACTATTCAAAACACATTTTAATTAGTCGTTGGAAATGTGCTGGGACATCGCGTATTCAACTGTGTACGTGAAAATAAACAATATTACAAAGTACTTTCAAGATATAATAGACCGTTGCCGTCCTATTGTCGAGCTATTGCTAGTACGCCTCATATAATAGGATGACAGCTGCTGTTCGATTTCTCGAGATATATTAGAGTGCGATGTAAAATTTTCGTCCCATTGTTCATAAGAGGATAATAATGTACAGCCCGTCGCCGACTTCCACTAAGCTCTCTTCAAGATTACGATTTCTGAATCGAAATGGCGTCGTTTATAAAACTAAAACGGCGGGCAAGAGGTACGCGCAGAGAATTACGGAAGACGGCGACAACACGGAAACAGATGACGCGGGACTTGAAAGTGTAATCTGACCGGGACGTCAAGTACACCGCATAAAGGAGAATTTAAAGCAATGGTGTTTGAGTGACCTTCCTGGCATTCCACCTGATGTCAACTTAGAAGCGTCTATCAGGAGTGAGCTTCGCGTCATCGGCAGTGACGGCGAATGCAGCAGTGAGATGATTGTTGCTGGAGTGACTGAAGTGGCAGCTACTTGTGCCGGAGCCCCATCAAATTAGAAGACCAATTCCTCCTTCACGATGTTCCTTCGTATGCGCTGTTTGTGCCTCATACCATTGACCAACCTTCGCTGACCAATGTACCCATCGGTTTCCAGGATCGTCAAGTCATCAAAGCGCGTTAGTTCACGCCGAATTTGAACTCTATCCGTAGTTTCGTTGTGAACGTTCAGCAGTTGATGTCTTCAACTCCAATCTTCACAAACCTCGTATTTCGTCTTGTGAATCTCGGCATTCCAATGCCTTTTATCTTCAATATTCGTATTCAAAACTAAAAAAAAAAAAAATGTACAGCACACTTTGACACCAATAAAATCTACGCCGCCATAAAACTTGTTTTTTAGTATATCATCAAGAGTGACGAAAAACATTAAGCGACTGACCACCCTTCGACAGAGCTTTTCTCGTCAATGTTCCAAAAGTTTGAAATTGTTTAATCACGATGGTTCACGTCAAATTGAATTTAAAGTTGAGTTAGCGAGTTTGCGCAAATTAGCATAAACTTCTGCGCGGACAAACTGTAAAGCGAGAAGGCATTTTGTTCTTTATCTGTTCCGCAGGTTCACCGATAGGGGGCAGGCAATGTGCCACGGCGCACACCACCCGATCGAGAGAAACACACGAAGAAAGTGCAATTTTCTGGAGCAATGAACGATGTCTAGAAGCGTTCCCGATAAAAACTGTCGCGGGAACAATGTCTTGTTCGGCATTTCGCCCGTGCCAGGACCCAGGGAAGTTAAAAAAAATCCCAGTGGACGTCACACATGGTCTTCAGTTGAAATCGAGTACGGGCGACTCGATCGTTGCGCAAAAAACACTTGCGTTTGAAGCAATATGTGCGCTCCAGTGTATGGCTCCTAAAAGCAACTTGTGTTCTTCAAACATATTTTGCAATTTACAATTAATATTAATCGCCTAATTCGTGTAAATTAAGGAGGTATGAAGGTGCTAAACTTTCCTTACTTCTTAAATAACCTTTAAAAAAAAATAAAACGTTGGAGTACGGTATTCCTGCAGACGGTCTCTTGGGATACAATGCATCTTAAACAAATTAAAGGCAAATTGTGCCGAAAAAGGCAGGCCACGTATGTCAGAAGAATGTTTTACTTATCTCTTCTGTGCAGAGGAACACATTATCGCACATCGAAAAACACGACAGCAATTACGAATTACCTGGATCTTGGCATTCTTATTTCAAAAAGAAGCTAGGACCACGTGCCAGTCTCATTAGCATGGATTAATTGGCACTGTGAGCCGCGGTGTATTCGGCATTATCTCACACGCGCTACAGCCCCATGAGGCTGCCATCATTACCAAACTTAAAAGGCCCACAATGCCGTGTATAAAGGAAAGAAGATGATGAAAGCGACCGTAAAACACCACAAGAAAAATTTAGGGGGCAGGTTATTATTCCACTTATTCCTCTGGGGGTAAGAGGCAAACATCTGGGAAGAATGGCGTTAGATTTTATTGTTACCAAAGGGTCATTCGATCTTTACTTCGTGTTAACACTGTAATTTCGTACCCAACGAGAGAAACTAAAACAAAAATTAAAATACCGAAGTCAAATACTTTCAGAGAGCGAGGCAGCCGTTTTGTTTCTGTAAGCAGCCATTCAGCATCTGTGATTGCGCCGTAGCCATTGCATTGCGATAAACTATTTAGTGTATTCTAATCACAGGCGGAGGAAACTCACTTCTGCTTTCACACGTAACGGATGTATTTTCATTGCAAATATATATATTTATATTTATATAATATTTGTTTTGCTTACATTGAATTTCAGCTTTGCTTTGGCGTCTTATGGTACTTCTATTTAAATCTGTATAAGCTAGGTTTCCTCTTAGTATAATTTGTCTCCAGCAAGTTCTAGGTGTACCAGAATATCGGTATATTGTACAAGAGTGGCACGATAACGTAGCCTTACATACATTACGTTAAAAAAAAAGAATTCGAGTTTGGTTTTGCAGTCTTATATTGCGAACTGAGGTCCGACAACCAACACTTTCTTAAAATATGTCTCCGTGAGCAATTCAACTCCCAATATATTCCTGTCCCTTCCTCTCCCTTCCCATCAGAGGAGCGGTGGGACGCTGCACTACGCGGCTCAAACCCGATCACCGAATTACATGTGGTCCGTAGAGATGCCGAGGTCGCCGAGGCACATGGGCTCCCGGCCACCAAGTGTGACTAACTGCCGAATGAGCGCGGGCATAACCGCCTTCACCTCTATAAATAAGTAAAGTTATTTCCATCCTTCCATCTATGTCTGCTAACTACGGCGCAATTAATAAAGCACCAAGTTCCAGTGGCAGAAAGTTTTAGCGAGGATGTCAATGTCGCAGACTTTTATGTTCTTTGTAGTTACTGTCCGTGACAGCCCTTAGACGGTGGCAAATATTTTGATATTTATATTTTTATCGGCTAACAATTTGGCGCACTGGAAAAGTTTGAGCTGTTTTTGATTAGGTTTAGGATATTTAAAATTCTGTGCATATTCAGCCGGGTCGAAGCGCTAAGGAATTGACTGTAGCATATTTATTCACCGCACAATGCAGCTCACAAAATATGATAACATACTGGCATACATATTCTGAGGCAGCTCCAAACGCCGTATCTGGAGTAGCGCCTTCCATTTGAGTGTCGTGGGGCTCAAACACAATGCTGAAAGCGTCATTGAGCGCTGCTAACAAACGTGTCGTGCTTGCGTCTCTTTGCGGACGATCTATCTTGAAACGTATGTTACCCCTTCACGTACAAATAATTTGACGACTATTGAAACAGGCCTGACGAGATAAGTTTTTTTAAGGAAACTCAAGTTTTTCTTTAAGGTACAAAAATAAAGTTTTATTTTCATTGTTTCTCAAACTAACAAGTCGTCGGCGTTGCATTTTCAAGTTAGCAATTACGTAAAATAAGAGGGGCACAGCGTTTTTAAAAGAACATAAGTACATGATTTCTTTACGTAAACACTCCGTGATTAAAGGTAAATTTAAAAACAAATCGTCAATATTTACTGATGCGCAGGTGTCGACCATTTAAAGAATTTCTTAAGGAATTTAGACAACTAACATAAAAAATGAGAACGATATTTTTAGCACTTCTTTCCGCTAGCTCCAATTCCTGAAAATAAATTAAAATACCAAATTTGTTTTAGTTTTTATGAAAAAAAAGTCACAGTTTTAAGCGATTACCGACAATTACTTTTCTGTTTAAATAATTTATAATTTATAATATAACTGGAAAGAACGCCTAGGAGGCGTTTTTGGCCGTCCTGACCACAGATTACGAGGTCACTGGCTTCTGCAGTGCCGAGACGGAGACTTAACTTTGCGCAAGACTAAAACGGGATCGCAATGTTGGAGCATTAGAGAAGACAGCTTGCTTGATGGAAGGGAACTTAAACTTCCACCCCCTCTGTTCTTAGTTTATTAGTTCATAGAGGCAGAACTACAATCAACACCGAAATTTCCTCGTCACAGGGCAGCTTTAATAATGCATTTCAGATTAAACAAAACAAAAAAAAAAAAACGATTGGCATCTGGTTTAAGCATCCGCCCTGTGAAGTGTCTTGCTGAAAGCGGCCCTCCTTATAAGCAGAACAGACTGTCTGTAAAGCAAGAGTAATGAATGTATCACACTCAGTGTTGCGCAATCAAATGGAAGGCGAAAACTTCTTTTGTTTGTTTTCTTTTGAATCTCCTTTCTACCACCACTTATTTGTTTGCTGTTGTTCAGATTCCCTCCCTTCCGGCTCGCACCTTTTCCTCCATTGTCACCAATCCATACCCTCCTCAAATTGGCTGCCACATTTCGCTTCCTTCATTACACTCTCAGAACTGGCGTGCATGTCGGTGTTTCTCGGTGTCCCATTCATTGTTACAGCAGAATCACTCGGACAGCTGACCGGAATTAATACCGAATTTCACTTTTTTTTTCTTTATCTTTTGTCAATGATTTTATCTTCCCTCTCTCAATTCCTCCTTACTTGGCTTTCTGGCTCCCTTTCTCGCTACTTTCTGGATGTCCTATAATCCTCGCGTGGTGGCGGCACTCTCTTCCCTGACATTTTTTCATGTCCCTCGCTCTTTCTCCTTTTTCTTCCTTTCCCCCTTTCCTTCTTTCTCTCTTACTTTTTTCTATTTTTTTTCTTTATTTTGATCTCTCTTTTTTAATATTTTTTGTTTCTTTTTTTGTCTCTATCTATCTTTCTTTCTTTCTTTCTCATTCTCTCTTTCATTATTTCATTACTATTTTTCCCCTTTATTCTTTCTTTCTTTCCCTTCACTTCCCCGGGCGCCCTTATGCACGGCAAATGTGTTCCTCGACTGCTCTTCGACGAAAGGATTGGATTGACGTGAACCTCCGCTGGGATCCAAAGCTCTACGGCGGAGTGCAGGAAGTGCGGATCCCGCCGAGCAAAATTTGGAAACCCGACGTGCTGATGTACAACAGGTGAGATGCACCAACTTTATTCACGTCACTTCCAAGTAAATAGAAATGTGTGCAATCAGTGGTGCTCTAACGTTTCCTCTACGAAGACGGATCTGTCTTTACCGTATTATTTTATTAAAAAAAGTGTATGTAAATGTTTATACCGCGGCAAAGAACACAATGAAAAGAAAAAGGTGCTACTTAGTACCACACACACCCCGAGATTTCAACTACAATCTGCCAAAGGCGTGGTCAACTTTTGATTCATATCATACACAACACCCTTTTTCCCTTATTTCTGTAGTCGCTGTCCTGGTTTTTGTGTGTGAACAGAGGCAACCTAAATGGTGTGTACATCGCGCGCAGGTAGATATATGTGGATATATACCGCATATATCCACACGACGCGTGTGGATATATGTACTATACCTCGCCGGTAATCACGCTGATCCAGGGTTCAGATCTAGGCTGCACCGAACTTTGCCCTTCGGCAGCTTTGTAACTTTTATTCAAAGTCAATTGTACGGTTCATTCATCTGCATATTTCGCCTATTTTGATATAGAAACGTAAAGAACCCGTATAGCCATCGCGCCACACGTTAGTACTATTACCACACAAACGTGCAAGCTGCTTTGTATTGTTAACTCACTGATCCTAGCGTACAACGCATTCTGAAGCAGTTGCCGTGAAAGGAGACCTCTTCAAGCCCGAAACTCTGCTAAAACTTTGTCGGTCCTATTACGAAAACTGAAGACGTTTTCGTTTCCGAAGACGTTTTTGTGGATTTTTCAGAACAAAGGGAAGGAGACGCTACAACTGTTGGTTTAGGGTTACCGTTAATATTGATGCAATCTTTGCAAGCGTTTTACTGAGCGACCATATTTTCAGAAGTCTACGTCAGGGACATATTTAGGAAGTTATAACGAATGGTTGTCGCAATCTTAGAAATTAGCAAAAAGACGGCTCAAAATCTGAAGGAGCTGAAGGTCACATGCATATTTATCGTCGAAAAATTTTAAGCAGAGTTTAAGCAGATTCATTCTTTCAAGCTTTGTTCGCTAACTTCATGTCACGTACGTGAAAGGCAGTCGTTTGTTCGCTCCCCTAATATTTTGCATTTGTTCCAGTAACGCTTCACCACGTTTTTTTTTTTAAGTTAAAAAATAACCTTAATAAATGTTATTGATTTGAAATCAAGTGTTCGTCAGAAAAACAAAACAGAGTTGTAGCAAAATGAGTCTTCAGAAACTTAATGACAATTTTTTGTAAACTTTGATTGGCGGACACTTATGCAGCCCAATTTCCCAGCGTATAATTGCAAACTCGTAATCTTTGTAGTGACGAAGTGTACTTTGCCTCCGCTGTAATTAAAAAAAGAAAGGTAAAAATAATTATAAATACTGAGCAACAGCTATTGGCGGGGTTCAAAAGCAGGCTGTGCCACACATTTGACAAGTTGTCGACGTTCCTATTTGAAATCTCTAATTAATAATAACCAAAATATGTGACTAAAAATGGCGTGTAAAGTGAGAAAAAGAGGGTAATGTATCTCTTTATATCTCGAGCCCAACTAAAATGAATATTTTGCTATTCAGCGAAGGTTATAAAAAGGAAATTAAATTAAAAATCTGATTTCACTTTGGCGACACCTGTCTACGTTTAAAGGCATGAAACATTCGTCGGATTTCAAAAGTAATTAAGAGCGAGATAAAAAATATTTTGCGAAGGCACAGACATCCAAATATATGGCTAAAGAACAGAGCTGCCAGAAGCTCAAACACCCGGGCATACACATCGTTATAGAAAAAAAAACAAAACGTGTTAATGACGTCGGAATTCTAGAGTATACGCACGACCTACCCGAAACGCTGGTCTTGACCTGTCCATTTCAAAATCCAAAGCTGTTTCTAATTGTTATTCAGGCTTCATACCATCTGCCACTGCACCTTCAGTGTTATTGGAATAAAGACCAACTTACCCTTTACTAATCTTTGGTTGTGCCTCTCCAAAAACCTAAGCTGATCGCAAGTTCGTCTGCTTCTTGCGGAGGGGTTGCGGTGACGTCAGAAGAACGCCAATCTCTGATTGGCTACGATTGGTAGGCTAGTGGGTAGACCTCAAGGCAGCCAGCACTGAAGTCTAGCCGCTACCCTTTCGATTAGAGCCAATCAGAGCTCGGCGTTTTGACGTCACTGCAACCCCTGCGCAAGAAGCAGACGAACTTGCGCTCCGCATAGCAATGGAACTGGTATTCCAATCAGTTAGTTATTACTATGGTTAGTGACATCTTAAGAAATGCAGCTGATGGTTTATTAGGCTCGCCCTGGTTTATTAGGCTCGCCCTTTGTGAATCGTTCTGCTGCGTTCTTATAGGCTAATGCAACAATGTAGTCGTCTGCGATGCGCCCTGCGTTTCTGAAGTTGTCGATGAGTGGAGACCTCGATTCATTTCGCCGCCCATTGACCGTAGGCACATTGCCAGTATCTGTCCCCTTTGAGTTGCAATCACCTTCCCGGACATGCATCCAATTGTTTTGCGATCATTTTAAAAATGACGCGAATAAACTGTATCGCTTTAATGGACCTTTTTCAAGTAACGAGTGCCGTCTGCGGAGTTGTCTGCGAACTACAAATGAAGAGCAGCCCGACATGCCTCCGCCCGTCAAAACACATTGATATCGCGCCGTTGTATTGGTTTTCAGTGCTTTTAATACCCCATACTACTGGTGTTAAAAAAACAAAGCGTCAAGATAGCCTAAATACGCGCGAAGATAGATCGGGACAATGTTGGTGTCGCCATTTTCGCAGGGCACCGTCTCGGTGTCCTGCGAAAATGGCGACAGCGGGAAGTGTTCGCATGCGCAGAAGCCTAGAGGGAAAAGGTCCATTGTACATTATAATTTTTGTTTTCGCATAAATACCGCTGACACGCGTTTTTTTTGTGAAGCGTCTTTTGGTATAACACACTCGTATCTGTAACGGCACTGGTACAGAGGGCACATTAAATAAAAAAAAACAATATATATATATATATATAGAGAGAGAGAGACAGAGAGATAACTAAGCTACTAAATTTGTCTTCGGATTGGTAGTTTTCGCTAGTAGAAGCAATAAACTTGTAATTAAAGGGACCATGAAATTGCCTTTTTACATTTGACAAACGACTTTTACATTAAACCTTCAATGTTCACTAAACGCCGAACAGGCATCCGTTTTTGTTTCGGTTTATTAACATCTACGTGAACAGTTATTGAAATATTGAGTTTTTCTTCCTCTCCTACTCACCGAAAAACAAGCCGCAGCGTAATTTTGACAGTCGTGACGTGCCCTGTCACCAGAAACGGGAGTTCTCTTGGCGGTAGGAGATTGGGAGCGTTAGCTGAGAGCTGGCGGTGTGCCGGTAGGTTTTACTGCGCTGGTGGCACCGATGCCACCGACTTAATTTCACAATCGGCGCCTCTCCTCACTGAGATAGCCGTGGACACATCGTATCTGAGCGAAATTCAATTAGATATGTTGCGCTGCAGCGGCAGCATGGGACTGGTCCCATGCGCATGCGCGGGAGGTCGTCAGCACGACAGCCGCTTTTCCACCGCCGTCAGCCGCTTCCGCTATATATCTAAAAATTAGGGGACGCGCTGTCACTCACTGGCGTGGCAGAATCTGCACAGAGTCTCCTATGGGCTCAAGCTTAATTAACTTTTATTTTGTCAGGATAGGCTCGCAGGAGAGAGTGGCTAAAAAAATAAAATAGAATAATAGAGCATGCCGTCTTGGACGATCACGACATTAAAACAGGACTTTACTGATCGTACAAATCTGCCCAGACGCCTATCCTACGACTGCAAAAGACAATGTCACCTTAGCAAAAAATACAGCCACGTAAAAATGTGATTTCGTGATCACATAGACGTTGCGATCGTTCAAGGAATGCTAACGCTAATCACTTTTCTCGGGTGATGAAAACGAGTCGAAATTCGCATCCTTCATACACGTCTTTAAATAGAGTACGTGCCAGTAATATCTCGAACCTGATCACACGCATGGAATGCGCTAAAATAAGAAAGCCGGGCGATGCTCGAGAACACAAAAGCTAAAAAAGCACCACTGTATACTCGAAGTAAACAAAGACGACGGCACGAGCGTTTGTGCTGTCTCGAGGGTGCCGCCACAACATCCCTGCACGAGTAGATGATCTCTCCTTTTAGGACGTGTTGGCTTATCATAGCGACCCGCGACGAGAAATCAGGCAAGCATAGCGCTCTACGCGGAACGATGAGCTTCCACCACGCCGACCTCGTTAATCATCACCGCCGACCTCATGTTTTTCAGCAGCAAGCGAGTATGTGCAGGCGCAGTCTGATATTTTTCTTGCTTCATTTAGCACACGATAGATGGCCTATAGCCCGAGTATTACAAAATAATTTCCCTCACATCGCTAAATATTCAACAGAATGGGGACTAGAATCATCTTTAACACAACTTTTAAGAAACATTCTCTGGCAATTTATTGTTTATGATCGCGGTGCTGGTGAGGTAGGCTCTGATCCAATAGGCGATGCGGATTTAACTGATGTGCCGTGGCACCGCGGATGCATCGCAGGGAAAAGGCACAGAGCTTTCGAAAGAAAAGGTACAAAAGAGTCCGCTTTTTTTTAGAAGTTCTATAGAAAAACTTTTTTTTATTCTCGATGTTTGCTCTTTGGCTGTCTTTTCACACCTTTTACGACGCGCGGTGAATGAAATGTGATTTCAAAATCGTTTCATGGTCCCTTTAACCTAACCTTAGAAACGAGATTTTGCTAGGCGGCTCAACTAGTATAGAGAGTTATCTCAATTACGTAAAGGAGAAACGTCGGTCGTTCTTTTTAAGTTTCTTCAGTCCCACCTTTTTGAAGGCGGCATTATCTGCCTTCCGCGACAAGTTGACCTAAGATATAAAACAAAAAACTTCAAGGCAGTTCGTGTGCTTCTCTACTGAATATTTTTTGTAGAACTTTATATACTATGGAGTATAAACTAAGGATCAAACGATGTAATTAGGTAATTACAGACTAAATGACCTATCTGTTTCTGGCACGAACGCCAGAAGATAAGACGAGAAACCAAAATTTAAACACATTATAGCTGCGATAAAAGAAAAAAAGAACATATTGCGAGGTTATACTTTTGGAGGTCGGGTGTGGCGCTTTCTTAAATCCTCTGTGTGTGTCTTTTTAATTGTGTCTCAATTTGTTTTCCCGCTCATCTTTGATTCTTCTTTGCACAGCGCGGACGAAAAATTCGACGGGACGTATCCTACAAACGTTGTTGTCCGCCACAACGGCAGCTGTAACTACATCCCACCGGGTATATTTAAAAGCACGTGCAAGATCGACATCACTTGGTTCCCCTTTGACGACCAGAAGTGCGACCTCAAATTCGGTTCGTGGACATACAACGGCTACCAGTTGGACCTGCGAGTCAAAAGCGACGAGGGAGGAGACCTATCCTCCTACATCTCCAACGGCGAATGGGACCTCATTGGTGAGTCACTCTGCCTCTGCTGCGTCCACTCGGAATCCGCAATACACTCTTTTTCCAAAAGTGGGCGCCATCGCCTGTCCGCCATTGTTTGGGCACGTACTCCGAGCCTGCATTGGACGCGAGACCTGCGGCATCATTCGCCGAAGACTCGGATCCAATAACACGCTTCATGCCCAAAAAATGGCGATTACCAATGTTGCTTGACGAATTTTTGAAAAGGGTCTATTCATTCGCTTTAATGTGCCTATGCGGCGCGTAAAGTCCAGCTGCTTTCTGCGCAGCGAGCGCAGTGACGTCAGATCGCCAATTGCTATTAGAAGGATGGTGGTTAGACCATAGAGTTATTATAATGTACGCTAGAGGTTCAACTGGCGCTAGTGTCTATGCGACTTCCGGGAGGCAAATTGAAGCAGACAGCACCCAGTCTACTTTTGCGGTGCTCCTGTGCATTCCTATGGGAAAACGCGCGTGAAATTTGTCTCTTCGCCGGAAAATAACATAAATAACTTTTATTATTTCGGTTGTACCGGATAGTGTGTACATTTATTAACATTGTAAAAGTGTAATTGCTTTAATTACAGCATTTTTCTTTACCACTGAACGATGTTAAGCTTCGCTATATTTCAGGCCCAAACCTATGTTTCATGGCAGGTATGTAAAAACGAGCGACGATTCTAAGCAAACTAACGATCGAAAAGAATGTCGAGTGTGTTCAAGGTTCGCTAGCATTGCAGCGGCGCTTATATATTGCTAATATGCCCGTCCTGTCACTCTATGACAATGACTCCTTCGTGCTTCTTTACGACGGCTAAACAACATTTGAATATAAGAAATAAAGTACGTGGACTACGAAAGGTGTGCCTTTTTATTATTTCCTATGCCGGGCAGTTTTTATCGGGCACCTATTCTCTGACTTCTCCCTATTTGCAAAGATTTGGAGCGTGCGCAGGCGTGGGGTTGATGATTGGAACCCAGAACATGCATCTTTGCACATATTCATGAGCAGAAAGAATAAAGCAGCACTTTTTTATTGCAAAATTTATTTTGATCACCTGCATGCACAAGGAGTTACTTATCCAGTGTTACTGCATAGTTCTTGCCGCCTCTCCTGGTTTTCCACGTGTCTTTCGTTCGTTTGACACGTATATCCCCATGGTGGAAAGCACCGGCCCCGTGTTCGCGCTAACAGTGTCCGACAGTGCACATAAATACATGTACGAAGCGGTTTTAGCACCGCTTTTCATGCCACGAATTTCAAATAAAAACGCCGTAACTGACCAATTATTTTGTCTGCGTGACTGAGAAATGTTCCAATGTGCCAGTACGTACGAAATATTCGTGATATTTGCTCTTATAACCGAGCGCAGCGAGAAAATGCACTCGCTTTTTCCCATAGAAATGCATTACCGGAAGTCAATTTCGGACTGGTTGCTGTCTGCTTCAATTTGCAGCAGCACACTAGCGCCAGTTGAACCTCTAGCGTACATTATAATAACTCTATGGGTTAGACAGAAAGACTAGCTAGTTCTGTTTCTACTCCCACCATTCCTCCGGCAAGAGCGGGGAAGGGTGTCGTGTGCTCCTCGCGCAAAGTCAGCAGTGGCGTCAGAGCGGTGGCCCTGACGCCGAACGCCAGTGTCGTCTGCTAGTCGTAGCAATGGCTGATTACCTTTCCAATACGGCTTTCGGAAATCCATTGGTTTTTACCAACGAGGACTTAGCCTTCGGGCAAGGGGAGTGGAAATACCTCGAACGTTATGTTATTTTTTGTTCAAGAATGAACAATGAACACGCGCTCCATCGAACGAGGAAATCAAGCACTTTACATGTCGTCTGCACTCAACCGCCGTCACTACCGAGGACAAAACAGCTACGGGCGCGACGATTGGTTGCGTTCGTCGCACATATCATCACTCCCTCTCCCATCCTCCAAAAGAGGCTGTGTTCCAAATCTTACCCAAATAGATCCGAGTAACTCCGGTGTGTCATGTCAGGCGATATCACAAATAGAACGACGCTGGACGCGGGTAGGTTTTCGAACGCAAAGGTACCAAGCCCTCTTCCTGGAGGAAGATCGAGTAAATTTTAAAATACGGCAAGACGCATTTCGGTTGGCGCAGGTTATTACGTTCCCGCGTATTACTTTATGATTCATCATCCGGTGTTCTTATCGGCGAAAGTCATAATCTCGTTGACTGATGGGCGATAATTAGACGCTCGGAACTTGCCGTGCTCTGCGTTTCATAAGCTAACAGTGACTATGCGGAGAGCAAGACGTCTGCCTCTTGCGCAGGGGTTGCGGTGACGTCAGAACAACGTCAAGTTCTGATTGTCTCTGATTGGAAGGATGGTAAATAGACCTCAATGCAAAACGCCTTGAGGTCTACCCACTATTTATTTCGATCAGTCAATAAGAGCTTGGCGTTCTGATATCATCGCAACCCCTGTACCAGAAGCAGACAAACCTGCGCTTCGGATTGGAAGCATGCGATAAATCAGTGGCGTCAGAGGGCGGCTCCTAGCAGAATCATTTCGCATAGACCACGGCTGGACTGGGAAGGATATCATGTGTAGCAGCCAGCCTCAGTTTCTAATAAATTTGAACTTTTACCTGAGCACAGCGCCATACCAACGTTCGGGGACACAGTTAGCACTAACTTTTTTTTTTTTTTTTTTACGCTAGGCTTGTAAATTGAGAGCACAGATACCTTCCATGCGCCGGTGAAGAGAGCCACAATCGTATCAATCGCAGAAGACATCTACTCGATCCGCCAGCGAGCGAAGAGCAATCTCTTAATAAGAGGGACGAAAAGTACGTGTCATGTATATTTTATCAATTACCGGCAATTGTGAGTGTTGTCACCGAAGAGTGATTTCAGAACCGTCAAACGCACAAACGCTTTTTAGGATCACCTTCCAGGGAAGATAAACGAAGACACCATGGCGGTGTATGTTGCCGCTCACCACTGCAGGACACACGATCAAACCCGAGCTCCGAGCAACTCCTGCCGGTCGAATGACGAAAAACAAACCCAGAGCAATGCTGGACGTGGGTATAGGTTTTGAACGTCAAGGTGCTAACAGTTTTCACTCCGGAGCTATACACCAACTCAACTCTCCTACGTCACGCCGCGGTGGTGGCGCGCCGGACGCACTTCCGGTCTGGGGCGGTGGGCAGAAGTCGCCGTGCCAGACATGCATTCCCGTGTTCCTTTGGAAGAAACGAGACAAAAAACCTGCCTTCTCGTCAAAATGCTGCGACGGGGGTTGTACCAAGAGAGTCTGGAAAGGTTTGAAGATCAGTTTTCATGTGTTTTTGCCCCCTCCGTTCGCCCGAGAACGTGGATAGTAGCCGTGAAAAGGGCAAACAAGACGCTGTCGAACTACGATTGCGTGTGGGGGCAACACCTTGTGGTCGCCAGATGTATTTGCTTTGTTCTAACATAAACGAGAGAAAATCGTCAAGTTGTCCGAACCACCCACGGGTTCAGTGCGTCTTCAAATTCACACGGCCGCCTGATCGTTCGAACTTTCGTCTGCTCTTTCAAACATGTCTGCTTTTTGTCGTCTGCTCGTTCAAACAAAAGCGGCCCGTAGACCAAACTTTGACCCGGTGATTGCAATAAGAAGTAATTGCAGGCCTCAAAAGACTTAAGTAGGCTCGGTGTAAACAGTACATACAAGATGTTGATCATTGGTACCGGTGGCCATCACCGACTTGTTAGGCTTGGTCTGTTCCCGCTTCCGATTTTCAGTATCGACGTCGATCGTCGCCGCTACCTTCTACACTTTTGCAACACGAGCGACGTCGCTACCGAAAATATCTAGAAGAATCTCATCATGGTTTTGGCGTCCATTCTGCGGCGTTCATGCGAATGAAACGCCGCACGTCATATTATTTACGGAAAGTTTAGCGGCGTAACGAGGCTTGATAATTTCGCTTAGGCGATTAAAGTGGTAAGACATTGCGATGAGGACCTAGAATCGACAATTTCAACCCGAAAAAGAGTACGCAGACTCACACAGACGCCGACAACGTGACATTCGAGTGGTTTGTTGACGCGGGACGCGGTGCTTCTTCCCCGTTCCCCATTACGCATGCGTTCGAACTGTCGTCTGCTCTTTCAAAATTGGCTGCTTTTTGTCGTCAGCTCGTTCAAACGACAGCGGCCAGTAATCCAAACATTGACTCGGTAATTGCGATAAGAACTAAGTGCAGGCCTCAATACACTTTTGAAGGTTGGTTGGGGTAAGTAGGCTAAGTGTAAACAGATACAAGAAGATGTTGATCATTATTGTTACCAGTGGATGCATCACCGACTTGTAATGCCCGATTCTACTTGCGGTTTTCAGTATCGGCGTCCACCATCTCAGCTAAGGTCCACGCTTTTGGAGTCCAATCAACGTCGCGTCTGAAAACAGCGAGTAGAATCTCATCGTGGGAGTCAGGCTTTAGCGCCTATTCTGCGGCGTCCACGTGAAATGAATCGCCGCACGTCACATTATTCACGCAAAGTTTTGCCTCGTTAGTTTTGCTGAAGCCGCTCAAGTAGTGAGACATTGTTAGGAGGACGTAGAATCAACAATTCCAACGTGAAAAAGAGCACGGGGACTCCCACCGACGCCGACAACAACGCAATTCAATGGTTTGTTTATGGGCGACGGCGGGCTTCTTGCCCACCATCCACCGCGCATGCGGGGCGCCGGTGGCGTCCGCTAGGGGCGCGCCGGTTTGTTTGTAAACATGAGTTGGTGTATACGGAGAAAAACTGCGGGGGGGGGGGGGGGGGAGGGTTAAGGAGAAGACGCTGTGCGCGTATCAGAAGAGGACAAAGCGGGCAGTGCTTCTCTATGCGGTGTAACGTGGACACTGTCACAGCGCGCCACCTTTAGAGGTGCTCCAAATAGCCAATATATTTAGCTAAAGAATTATCTTAATTTTTTTTTATCAAGAATAGTATGAAGAGGTAACGGGACACAAAGCTTACACCAATGTGAAG